CATAGTCATTGGCAAAGAGAGATTTTCCCTTTTCTCTGTGAATTTAACCACGTTTTCCTCCTACCAAACTTTCCCGTACATTTTTTTTCTCTGCGTTCTTTCCATTTCTATTCCGTTCTGTTACCCTCTCTTTCTTCACTTGTTTTTCTTTCCTTCCATTTTTACCCTCTTGTGTTCTTCCAGTTCCTCTTGTCCCCCCCCTTTTCTCCTGACGCAACTCAAATCTTTTTTTCTTCTTTTTGCGTATTTTTTCTCATCTTTCTTCTTTTCCCCAGTCCGCCGCCGTCGTAAATTCAGGTGTCGAGACTCCGTAATTATAGGTGTGGCCTACACGAGGTCGAGCCGCCAAAATCCTCCCGGCGCGGCGCGGCGCCCCTCCTTTCCCCCCACCCACGCGGCCGCGCGCCCGCCGCCCTCCCTCCCCAAAGGGGCGCCCTGCGCTGAATGGGGCCCCGGCAGACACCTGCTGACCCGCGAGAATGCCTCCGCGCCCCCGCACCGCGCCGCCCCGCGCCACTCGCAGGTAAACCACCCACTTAGCGCCGCACGACCGTTAGGCGGTGGTGGCGGCGGCGGCGGCGGCGGCGGCGGCGGCGGAAGGGCGGCCTGGGCGCCGGCTTTACGCTCTCTTTATGCTCTTGTGTTCCCGATGTGGGGGCGGACGAATGCAGCTGGGGAGTCGCAAACACTATGTTCGTATTGAGAGTGAAATTTCTCCTCGGTTATCAGGAAGAAATCTGTGAGAAACGTGGAAGAGTCAAGGTTGGTGATCCAGCATTGCCAGAAACTTGTGGAGATGGGTTTGAATTTAGACTGTTCATTTTTTAGAATATCCCCTTTCATGAATAAATCATATAAAACGATATTTATTACCGCAACTTACGTTATCATCGTCGTACGATTGAAGCATTTTATTGCAGAAATAACAGGTTAGACAAAACTGCTTGGGCAAACTTCCTGTTCTCATATTCGTTTGTTGTGGCATTACATTATTGTAAAATATTATCGATATTCTTGGCACTGCATTAATTTGTTCCTTCCTTCTGACTAAAAAAATGTTGTTTTGTTTTTTATTCGACTTACTGGGAATTTGCAATTCATTTATGTAACTGTAGGAATATCAGATCTCAAAAATGAAAATAAATTAAACATCACGGAAGGATTGTTATTTCATTACTAGTTTCAGTTCTTACTCTCGTTTCGAAACTAATTCCTAATGAAACGCTTTTTGCTCTGTGACTGGATATGTTACGAAACTTCTGCTGGCACCACAATCCACAGGTTCTACACTATACACATGTGCATGTACTAAAATTCGTATATTTCATTTCCATTTCCTGTACTGACCGTCACTGCCATTTGCATCATTTTGATCATCCACAAATCCTATATTACACGCTACCTGTAATGATGGAAAATCCCAACCAAACGCGGCTCGCAAGCAAGGTTCTAAATTTGGCACTCATACATTGTTTCCTGAACCAGTTCTATTAAGGGAACAATGCGGCGCCAAAATATTTTCAAAAGACGCAAGCCATGCTAGCCAGTCGCGCTTCCTCCAGAATTGCCAGCTCAGCACTTGCACTACCTGCACCACCAGTCCCTCCGCAGCCTCTCTCCGCCTCCCCCTTCCCCCCAGCCCCACCACCCCCTGAGGGGGCCATTCTTCCGCGAGTCTCCCGCGGCCCGGGCTCAGCGCGAAAGCCCGACGCCGCGCCTCCGCGACCTGGCTGCCCGCGGCGCGGGGCGCGACCCTGCGTGCGTGCCGCCCCTAAGCCCTGAGCGTTATGCGCGCACCATTTGCCCGCGGCCCGGCCATCTGCCGCCGCTATTGTCGCCTCCCCCGCGGACAGCGAGCGCCGGCCATTCACGCAGGGCGCTGTTATTCTCTGACGGGCGGGTACGGATTTGTTCCGATTGCAGGGCTGAGATTTGCTCAGGTTGATGCTGTAAAAAACAACTAAACTTCTTAATATGATGAGCATTAAAGTTGGAATTATTTTTAATCCCGAAAAATGCTGAATATTACGAAATGTTTTCTCTGATTTTTAAATGACTTGCTTGTTTTTTTTTTCTATTACTCGGATTTGATACCCATCGCAGGTTTGTTTCTCTTTCCCAGAAACACGAGAAACCAGTTCAATGAGTGTTGGTAATCGTCCCTGTGGAGTAGTATTTTTTAATCTAATTTGATAAGTTTATTATTCACGCACGCGCCACAGTATTTTCAAATTTAAAGTTTATTTTTATGAATATTGTATACACCGAGTACTGTTATTACAATATGTTTTATTGCTTGCGTACTTCTTGCTTGAAAATGCGAAGAAGAGGCTATCCCCTCCTGGGTGAAATTCGCCGAGTACGAAGGTAATTGCTCTAGAATAGCGTGAGAAGCAATTCCTTCTCGCAAATAAACAGAAGCAAGCGTGCGCTCGGGTTCCCAGAAGGGGGGAACGAGGCGCCCGCTTCTGGCGCACTCGCACTCGCACTCGCACTCGCACACGCACTCGCTCTCGCACTCGCTCTCGCACTCGCACTCGTTCTTGCAATAGCACTCTTACTTGCACTTGCATTCGTACTCGTACTCTCACTTGCACCTGCACTCGCACTCGTTCTTGCAGTAGCACACTTACTGGCACTTGCACTCGCTCTTATGTTAGTGGAATTCAACACAATACCACTCTGATACACAATACAATGATACGTGCGTGCGGCTAGACAGAGATGGAGGAGAAAATCCAAACGCTCTGTTTTCGTCGGAAACAAATGCGTAAGAAATACAGCTATAAATTGAGAATGCATGCTTTTTCCTTCCATAGTTGCCAGCGGTCACGTTGATAATTTTCTAAGTTTTTATTAAGATACGTACTTTAGTTTATTTGTTTTCTTATTTTGAATCCTCTTCATTTTTTTCTCCGAAATCGTAGCGTCGTTTGCTTCATATTTTGATAGTGGTTCTCTGGGGCATGCCAAGAATTACGCGAAGTCTCCGACGTGTGTGGGCGCCTGACAAAGTCCATCTCGCGAATTCGCATGTTGCGATATGGCCTGAGGGATGAGATCATTGTTTGGAAATACTGTTGCTGAATCGTTTGCTCTAGGGGGAATTAGTGGTGTGGTATTTTAGGAGATGAATGCATTATTCTTGTAAACCTTGTAAGTCATTTCGTAGTTTACTATATCTTAGAAAAATAATCACAAGATAAGAACTTACTGAGAACATGTAACTAGTCGTTTATTTTGTTGCAAATCATAGTTTTCTTTGTTTCATTCAGTGTTTACAAAGTGTAGTGCCAAAATATTGGGCACTTGATTTTACTACAGCGCAGTACATAATCTTTCTTGCATGTTAATATTGTCTTAAAATAAAATTGGTGACTATTTCACTGTGTACATTACGCTTGCATAAAACTACGTGCACAAAATCAAGAATAAAAATATGAAATGTATAAGCGTATTACACTGCTGTGCTGATGACTAATCTTAAAAGTGTTAAAGTTTAAATACAGACTTATTCATTGATATTTATAAACAATTATGTGATTTACCTGCAAGATAAACTTATCGATTTTTAAGCGGAATTCAGCCCTTCAAAGCGAGCGTGTTTTCTTGCTTGTTGGTCTTGCAAGCGTAACGACTAACCTGGAGAAGTACAAAAGAAGGAAAAAGTGCTCTTTGAAACATGGGTAGCGGAGTCGCACGCACGAGAGACGCGTGCAGCAGCGAGCAGCGCCGCCGCCGCCGGCGACTCTCCGCGACCTTCAGCGCCGGGCGTTCACGACAGTAGCCGCTGCTGCAGTCGCTACCCGGTCTCTCGCCTCGCGGCTCGCTTCCGCCGCCCGCCAGCCACTTTGCTGCCTCTCGCGGCACCCGGACTCCATCTCCACCTCCCGCCGCCCCTCCGACTGCTATTCGCCTGCATCGCGGCCGCCATGTTTATTCCAACTTTACTACCACCCTTTTTATCAACATTTCTTCCACCGCCACCATCACCGTTACTACTACCACTAGCATCACCACCTCATCACCACTAACACTACCAACAATAAGAACCACCACCACCACAACAAAAACAACTGTCACAACCACCACTTCTATCTCCACATGCTCTACCACCAGCATCAACACCACATCCGTCAGTTTTATTACCGCCGTTGCCACCATCATTACCACCCAATACTCGATTACCTGAGAGCGTATGATGTTTATCGTATGCTCGAAACACTATTTTATGTTTTCCTTATGTTCCGTTCTTTAAGCAACAAGTTCATTTATAACAATATCGCATGGGTAATGGACGTCCGATTCAAAACAAGAAAATCAGCGAGTTAATAATCGTTTTGTATTATGTCGACACGTAACGACTCAATCGTGCAACAACGGAAACTATTCTCTTCGCCACTATGCGATTTATTCTTCGTTTGCTGTAATGTTTATGCCGTCGATGACAGCATACCCATCAAAATGTTAAAACAGTGAGATCAGTAGGCTGACAGGCGACATAGACATATTGCTTTCCGCAAGAAGCGTGTTCTCCGTATTCGCTGTCATCACAGATCCTCTCCCACCTTGTGCTGCTACCTCACAAACATTAGAAGTCAAACTTCACGAGCATCCCCGTTTCTACAGCACCGCGTCTACCGCACCACCTCGGAGGTCCCTCCTCGGCGGCGGCGGCGTCGCCACCTCGCCGTGAGAAGCGCTCGGGGCCTCGCCGGCAGCGGCCGGTGGCTGCAGCCGCGGCTCCGAAACGATAATGATCCCGATCGCGTAATGGCCACCGCCGCCCTGTGAGAAACCGGCAGCGGCGTCGCGTGCTGCGTGCAGCGGCTCTCGGGGCGGGCGTTCGCCCTCGGGGCGCCGCGCCGCCCGCCCTCTCCTCTCCCCCGGGGGGCGTAATTATGGCCCGGAGGCGGATTTTAATTTGTTCGCGTTTTAATAAGTTTCCCGCGCGGGTTAACCGTATGCGCAGCAGCCACGGGTGCGGTGCGGTGGAGCCGATGCTCCGGGACGCTCTTCTTCTCGGATTAGCGCGCGTAATTATTGCGTGCGGGACGCGTATTGTTGGCGCGGGGGGCGTGAGAACGGCGCCTGGGACGCCACCGAGCCAGGGCCTTCGCCGTCGCTGCTGCTGCCGCCTGCCGGGGGCATCGGAAACGTCGCCCAGCTCTGTGCGGCGAATGCGGCGGAGGAGGTGGCTGCGGATAGAGGAGGCGCTGGTGGATGGAGCGGAGCCGAAGAAAAACCTGTTCTCGCTTGCCCGCTCGCCCCTGCCGCTTGTCTGTCCGCCCGTACCTTCCAGGTATTACCACAAACCTGCTCTCCCGCCGCCGCCCCCGCCTCGCCTCCCTCCCACCCGCCTGACTGATGGCCATAACGAATCGCGTTGTCAGTTTCAAACCGGCACCGAAGCACACGCCGCCGCCACCGTTCATCTCGCGCCGAGGCACGACTACTCATCAACGGAGCGAGCGGGCCTCTCGGCGGGAGCTGCGAGCCTCCTCGCGCCGCGCCGCTGCGCCGTGCACCTGTTTGAATCTCGGCTCTCCTCGCGGCGGCGGCGGCGGTGGTGGGCGTGGTGGTGGCGCGCGCGCGGCCGCATTAACGACGGCGCCGTCTGCCTTCTCCGTCGCCGCCCGCCCCGCGCGCTCAGTGCGCCCGCCGCCGCCACCCACGGACCCTCGTCCTCCGCCCTCCGCGCCGTCTGCGACCTGTTTGGCGCTCGCGGAACATCGGATGACGTGCGCGCGCGCCTCGTCCGGGTATTGGAACTTGTTTGTGGTACTTGTTTTCAGTTTTTAGAGTTGCGTTTGGGTGCGATTCGGAGATTGGTGCTCGGTGAAATGGTGATTTGCGAAGTTTGTAACGGTGCGCGTCTGATTAAATATTGATTGATGGTAAATATTTAATTGTATGGACTGTTTACAAACTGTGCGATTGACTTGAATACCATCTCGGATGTTTGTAAGGTAAAGAAGTACACATATGTAATAAGTTACTTTGACTACTCTCTTCTTGACTACGGACATTTCGGAGAAATATGAGAATGTGCCGCTGAAAATGACCTGCATCGTAGCAAACCAGATATCCAGTATTATGTTAGGTAAGGTTCTCAACAAGTCAGAAAAAAACACGTTCATAAACATTCGGAAGACTCGAGAAGTACTGCTCTTCAATGAATGTTTACGCAAAAATTTGGACGTTGCTGCCAATTTGGTTAGTGCGATGTGCTCCTTTGCGACGCGATGTGTTCGACTTAGTTCTTTACGTTTCACTTTGTGCATTTCCGCTTTATTTCACATTCACCGAAAGATACCTGTTTCTTCTGCACTTTTTGCACATTTTTTTCTCATTCACTTTATAAATAATCCTCGGCATGTTTACTATCAAAATCACTTTTCGTGTTATCTCGCTTACCACTTTATGTGCCTTTCGTTCACTTCATTGTTGCCCGTCATCTTTAGTTACTTCTCTTTCTTTCTTTCTTGACTGTGTTCCTTCTAACACGGTCGCACTCTGTGCTCCAATCTCCGATCCTGCAACCGGGTTCTTCAGCGGGGTCTAAATCATTACCGCATCAGCTCCGCCTCTTCCGCTGACTCAAGCGCGTTTCCAGTACTACCACCTAGTCCTGCACCATCTAGACCACCTTCGCCCCCCCCTCTCCCACTGCCCCCTCTACTCGTACTTACCATCACCGCCACTACCCTGTCTACCACCACCACCATTATCAACTCGCCGACGGCTGCCACACATTATCACCATTTCTGCGGTCGTCTGCTCTCGTCGCCGTTGCTCTCTCGGTGGCGCTGGTGGCTTTCACTTTCTCGCCTATTACCTACATGCGTAGTAAAGAGAGTGCATTGTAATGCTGCAGCAGAAGGGGACGAATTTTCGCCAGAAAACTAGTATTGCGCGTACTGACATCGAACAAGTGGATACTTCTTGTTTATTTATGTAATATTTTTCTTCCTGTAAAACATTGCATAGTCGGAATTCACCTTTTGTAGGTCCTTGATACCACCGAAAAATTGGTTGATGCCAAAACGTCTGTATGCCTTCCCTTCCGTCCGTGTTCAATGCTTGCATCTAAAACGTTCATTCGATTTTCTCCAAAGTTGATATTCCCCGATCGATGTGACCGAACTCATGACCCTGCGAGTTGAGACGGAAATTTCCATTTTGGGGGTACTTTACGTTTAGCTTCAGTATTTTGAAAATGTTATCGAACACCACTCCAAATGTTTCTTGTTTTTTTTTTAATAAATAGAGCAAATTACGCTTCTATAATTGGCTCAGATTTATTTTTCGTTGAACGCTCTAAATTCTTGATAATTGCAAAAGTTACTAATGATGTGAGAAAGTGTGCGCAGTTGTACTGCCACTAGTTTTGTTCCGTTGCGCATGGCCTTTCGGAATGGATGAGCCTTCGCGGCCGCCTTCGCCGCTGACCGTCGACCGACGCCTGTGTCAGAGATTTTGCCGCCGTCACCGTCGGGTTGCTTTCTCACTGTCGCGGACCGATTCTCACTTCATGGGAAGTGTTGCCAACGATAGTCCAATTATCCGATCTCCGGATATTATTTTCTTTAAAAAAATATTCTTTCGGAAGGTCTTGAAGCTTTTATCCTGTCTTTCAAATATATAGTTTTGAAGTACTAAAACGAAGTTTTAGTTTGACTTATTGCGAATTAAAACATAGGAAAAGAATTATCAACTTCGCACGTTAGCACTATTCCTCATTTTTCTACAAGATTCACATTAAACATAAATCACTTTGTGTAAGCTACGAAGATCACCCAAAATACAATAGATTATAAATCTAACGTCTCAATTCTTACTGGTTAGTGACGTTAGTTTCACAATTTTTGTTGATATATATGTTGTATGATAATAGTGTGTAATCCAGTAAGTTTCTAATGATACTTTTTTTATTACAGGTAAGTTGGACGTCAGCTGTAAGCAGTATTTCTTGAACCAGACAATCATCTTTGGTGACGTAAAACATAATTATCAACATTATTTTTTGTAATTTAAATCCCCTTTCCATGCACTAATAGGGATTAACATTAGAAATGTATGAAAAAAATGTCTTGCGAATGTTTCAGATAATTATTAAAAAATGTACAACATCATTGCCCTCATTGATTAGGAAGATCTATCATTGAACGACTGTTTTTGTATTTAAAACACTTATAAATTGCAAGTAAAGGGCGTGGGGGGAACAACCTCGTTTGGAAACGTTGGTACCAGAAACATTTGGTTTTTGTGGGTCACCTTCTATTTGCGCACCCTCGTCATTATGAATGCCACTCCGCGTGAGCTCGTTACAGAGTGAATCATTGCGAGAGCGGACTGGCGAAAGTGGGTGCGAGCCTTCATCATCAGCCGCAGTGACTTTTACGTATCTCGCTTTTTGTCAATCTGCTGTAATTGCGTGTACTTGATCAACTGCAATCATTTGGATAGGGAATACAGGTGTCACTTGCAGATACATATTCGCGACAGGAGTCATACTCGCAGAATTCTTTAGGTTTTTCACTACAACTTTAATTCTTTTTATGCGATTAACCTTTGAGATACATGGCAAACTATTCGCATATTTTAGAGTATTTTATTTTGGACTTTGTGTATTTATTGTCGTTCTTGCATGACTGTCTGTGTTTGCGGAAGACAAGTACGGGCTTTCTTTGCTGCCCTTCGCTACGCCTGGCTCCTCTTATACGCACGCTGACCATCTACTACATTATGCGCTTAATGTCACCTATACTCGCTCTAACGAGCAATTATTCGAATATTTCTTAAAGATTGGTCGGTGCATTTTTATGTTAATGTAGTTTCGTTTATGTTGTATTTTTTTGCTTCATTTCTTCGCGACTTCATTTTACAGCATTTCCAATATCTCGTCTGTTGTTTTGATATTTGCACATTTTCATCCTCTACGCTTTCTTCTCAGTCCATCTCTTTTAAAAAAGTAACACTTTATTATCTTTATTAAATCATTGTGTGTCTTCATCTTCAACGTACTATCTTATTTACGTTTCGCTTTCTTTTTTTACGTTGACGTCAACTTAATCTTCTTTCGCTATCTGCACTTCTTTGTTCTTCTACACACTTCTTTGCCTTCCCTCCTCCCCCTCTTCACGGAACTTATGCATAAACCGAGAAGGGCACTTTCCGTCGCATCCTAAGCGTGAAACGAGTGCTCTCCCCTCCCCCTCCCTTCCTCCGCCTCCGCTCGCTCGCTTACGTATGCATTACGCCGCACCGCCCCGCCGGCGTTCGACATGCGCGTGTATAAACGCGATGGATTTGTACAATAATGACCGCCGGATTGGCGCTACGATTTCCAGGCATAAATCGTGACCCACCGGGCGGCGTGGCGGGGCGGAAGCGAAGGGGGTGGGGGTGGGGGGGCGACCAAGTCGAAACGAGCGCTGACGCAGGCCGGAGCGCAGCGGGCCGTACAGCTCGTAATTTGTGGCCATACGGAGATGTTTTCTCCCCTGCATTAATCCCGATGTTTGTTCGTAATAATGCATTTCGAGCCAAACTTGATGTAATAGTTCTTTCCGGCTCGTTAATTTCCCCGATGCCAGATCCATTAGACCCACGTTTGTGCGGGACGTCGCGTTCATTGCAATCCATCGCGAAATCTGAGGGCTGCATTGTAATCGTTTATAATTAACCTCGGTTGATCATGCCGGTAATTTATGGTTAATCAAATTTCGCCATTTACCTGCGGCCTTTGTTGTGCGGACGCTGTCAAAACGCGCGTCGGGGATATATTTCGCCGAATCGTTAATCGAATAGAATAGTTGGGTATATTGTCCTGTGTGAATGCGAGGTGTTATTTAGGGAATCTATGGACTGTGTTATTGGGTGATACGTCCTAATAAGAGAAACAATACGCTCTTTGATGGCGGTTTGGAGCTCGTGTGGTTTCCAGATTTTCTCATTACCCTTGGCTGCAAGCGACCGCGTGTGCGCGGGCGGACGGGCGGGCGGGTGGACGTGTGCGTGCTGCAGTGCGCGTGGTCACCGGGTCGGACTCATGCACGCGTGCGGACGAACCCACGCGTACACACGCGCGTGTGTGCGTGCGGGGTGGAGAGGGCGGTCTGCGCGTTGCACTTTATTTGCGAATTGCATCGCCGTTCGACAAAATTGTTTGGTCTCCAATCTGCATCCGTTTGCGGCCAATATTTGAGTCCCCACGCCTGCCGCCCTAGGCCCGTTCGGGCGCGCCCTATCGGCCGCTGTGCGCGCGAAAGGGAGAAGTTGCACGGAAATTGCCCGCTTGATTGTGTTTAGAGGGTGGAGAGCGACGCGGAGGTGCGTGCTAGTAGTGATGCTAGGGACCTTGAATGGAGTTTCTATAAAAAAAATTCGTAGTTCCTTTTTATTTTATATTTACTACTAGGAGAGTGGTGTACATTTGTAGGATAATTTTGCCTTTTTGTTGTTGTGTATATATTCACAACTCGATAATATTAATTCCAATGCGCGAAGAAATTGAAGGAAAACTATGTAGCCTCTGGCCCTGTATCTATATATTACAGTGTAGTTCTTTTTGAGCAATGTGCGATCTATTGTTTGAAAAATTATTTTGTGAGGTTTTGTTCAGAAGCTTCTTTGCTACTGGGGGCCATTAGTTTGCTATTATTATTCTCACAACCTACGTATTAGGATTCTAGAAGTGAAAAAAAGATGAAACAAATAGTTTCAATGGAAAGGTCTTGATGCTAAAACATTTACAGAGGAAAATGGTATCATTCATCCTATAAAATATTATCCTATTCTTGTTGGATAGAGAGATTTTTTCTAAAAGTTTTGAGTTTGGTGTTCTCTACAAATA